ATATTATTTTGACCATCAATTTTACGCGTTCACTGTTCCAATAGATTTGCGTCATTTTGTAAGTTCCAAATTGTCAGTAGCGGTGAAAAATTATTTGCAAGGGTATCGTAAGAAATAAACCATAGATAACCCGCTGCATTAAAGTTTCTACATGTAGGCACCTTACAAGTTGTGTTATTACACCCAAAACCTTGGTATTCACTTAATGGTTTCCTATGTATCGACATCCCTAGCTCAAATTTTTGGCTACTTTCGATGAAAATGCCTCTCACTCTCCAACGAGTTTAATGCTTTTTTTTTTGTTTGATATTTTTCCCGGAGGTTGGTTTAACATTCCATGCCTAACCAATCTCATTTCATGAAACATAAAGTGAAAAAAACCTTTAAAGCAATTTTCGTACATTTGACTATGAAATCCTCAAACATACTCTCGATTGTCCAATTAAGATATGATGTTGATATCAATTGTATTTTAAGTGAACTATAATGTGGATCTTTTAGGTTATTTTGGGTCATTTCATTTTTTAAAGGAAAAAGTTTATATAATGTTGCAACCTTAAAATGTAGAACTATGGATGCACTTCAAAAATCCATTAGTAAAAGTTGTTTCAACATTGAAAAACCCTCTAACTGATCATCTAGATATCGATATGTATGACTATGAAAAAAAAATCGTTTTTGAGTCTCAGAAATGGTGCATTTGACAACATATTATATAGAATGTCCATTTTCAAGATTTTTTATATATTTATAGATCTACTTGATTTTAATCATTTTTTAAGTTAAAATTTTATAATTAGATTTAAAAATAAAATTTGATATAATCTTAAGAGTATTTTACATCAAAATTATATGTTATGATAAAATTTGAAGGTGTGCCTTAAATGGATTGTTTAAAGCTGCAGCCTTATGGAAACCTCATCTTTTTTAAATTGTTATTATAGACTTTTTACACGTGCGTGAGGGTGCGAAGTATAGGCGCCTAAAAGTTTAGCTGAATCAAATGTGTGGTAGAAAAAAAAAAATTGAAATACTTAAACGTGCTTTCAAGTCATCTAAAAAGTTTTTTTGGTGATCTAGACCGTCCATTATGTTAGAACCTGCAGTGGATGAGTTATGCTTTCGAAATTTCATTCATTTCATGAACATCACCGTAATAAATAGTTAAAATCAGCTAAATTGCAGTTCTTAGAAGGACAACATTTAGAATTAGAATATGTAGAAATATAGAAACATGCACTTAATTTTCGGAACAATATTTTTTTTTTTATGTGTACCCATATTAAGAAAGTAATTCATTACATATATTAGTTTTTTTAGTAGTTCATATCTTTGTTACCCTATAAATTGGAGCTCTTGTTCACATATTATATAAGCTCAATAATACATCTCCATGGGAGTTTAAGTCCCAAATATACAAAAATACAAGTTTTCACATGGTATCAAAGCCAGATTTGTCTTAACTATATCCATTCTTGTACGATCGAATCTATTTATTGCCGAGCCTCTTCTGATCGTCCGTAGTCAATCGCCTAACATTGATCACCTCATAGTTGGAAATTTCAGCACTCTTTCTCTCTCACCACCTCGATCTTTGGACAATTCGAACACCATTACGACGAGCTTCCACCACATCAACCACGATCGAGAAATTCTGAGTCTGTTACCGAGCCTCTCGTCTAATCCACAATTCTGTT